GTACTGTCAGTGTGCATACCTTGAGGTATCCTCGTAATAACCTTATTATTATACATCTTTTACAGATTCTGCACTTTTTTATGTAGTCTAGAAGCGGATGCATGTAATTTACGACTTCAGTGAAACAAAGTGGTAAAATAATTGTAAGTGTCAACACATTCTATTTAATTTTGATTAATATAGAACTTAAATTTATCACCCACAATTTTGTCAAGACTATTACAAACCTTGGTATTTTTAGCAATATTTATTGATTGTATCAATGCCATTTGTGGCCCTTCATGAGTAGTTGACTAAAGTAACAGATCGTCTGTATATAACATTCATTCAAACTGTATAATTCAACAGAATCAAATTTATTCACAGTATCACAGATCTTATTCACAAAGATATTAAACAATTGAGAGTTGATGTTATAGCCCTGTTCGGCAACCCTGCGGGAAGTAAAAAATGAAGTAATCCCTTTTTTTAATTTGGCACTATTGTCAATAGTGAAATTATACTGTGACGCACAGAGTACAATGGTTGTGCCTGTGCGTTGGCCAAGCGGCCATTCCCAGAGAGCAAACAAGTGGGCCAGGTCCGGTGTGTCTCTGTCTGAGTCTGTATGTCTATATCTCTGTCTGTATTTCTCTAAAGTAACATGTCTTTTTATAAGGTAAATCACGTGATCCAAATTGATACATCACATGACTCAAAACACCTTTTATGATAGGACAGTAATTCAATACACCCGCATAATTTTCCCGAAATTACATTGAATAAAAATACAAAAGTAGTTACAAAAGTGATTTTAGCACCTCGCATCGTGGTGAAATTCTTTAGTGGTTGATTTGTCACAGGTGATAATGTTTTACGAATTATATTAATACACGTGGTGTCATACACTGTCAGCTTCCCATATACCACATACTCGCTAAAAGTGACACGGATATTGTTTTAGAAACCACGCTTATTGATAGCAATGTGAAGATACGCTTGATATTGTTTCAATAAAAGCGTCACTCATGGGAATCCTGACAAAGCCCAATGATGGGTGTCCGTACTGTGACCGTGACGAGCGATATGATCTGGTGCAATCGATTTAAATTAAAGCGTCTTCGCCTTTACGCTGATGTAATCAAAGAAAGAATGAAATTGAAAAAAACACTCTGATTAGTGAAAATATACATCAAGTACTTACAAATACTTACATTGCTAGCAATTCTATCAATATGATGGCATGAATAAGATATTGCATAATGTTGTGTGCATCTCCTTAATTTGAAAATAATCTGAAATGTCATTCAGTAGTCATATACATTGATTTAACTGAGTTGAAGAAGTTACCCCTTACCCCTAATTTCAATAGCATACACAATAGACCACCTCAAACTGAATCAAAAACCTTGGAAAGGTCAATAAAACATGAAAAAAGGCGATTTTCAGATTTATTTAATTTACTGTTAACATATTTAGTTGTTAAAGATTACATTATAAAAATATTATAAAAATTGATTGTCTACTAACTGATTATTTAAGTCAAGTCAGTCACTTGAAAATTGGAATAAATAAACTAGAATTCCACTGAGACGGAAAACTAACTGACTTTAAAACTGGATTTAGTCAAGGCATCATTACAGGTAAAAACTGGTACTTTGCTTTAACATCTCATTCAAAATTAAACCTGTTCTAACCTGACTTTAAGAATATGGAGTAAGATTTCCTTATTAGTAAAATCATGGTCAAGCATTTGATTACTCTTCAATGACTTCTTCATATAACTAATTTTATTTTTAAAGTGCCTGTGAAATGGCTGCTATTTTCACGTCTAAAATTATCAAATGATACATAAATATTATTAATTTTTATGTTTCTAAGCATAAATTATTTTTTTAAGTGAAAAAATGTGTTTTAAACTCAGTCTACAGCAACTTTATTTTTTGTATTTTAAAACGAGGCTCCTCATTAGCTATTCATTTCCATACAGAAATTCCCCTTGTGACGTCAGAAAGGGAAGTTGCTGGGCAGCTCGCATTGCCGATACGTGTAAATAAGGCAAATTTCATGCGCATTTGGTCCTACATTACGTCATCGTACGAACATTGCTATTGGGGCCGGGATTTCACGATAAACCATACATTTTTGTTCATACTAAGATAAACAAATTTGATGCAATATTCAAAGTTTAATCATAATTAGTTTATCAGTATCCGTTACCACAAATGTAGAATAAGAACAATTCTGAGGCCCACCACGCGCATAACATGCACTTGACCTCCAAACAAGCAAGCATTATCCAGTGCTTGAAACGCACTCCATGTGTTTAATGTAAAGTATATTACAACCTACTAAAGGAGGTTAAAGGTCACAAAAGAAAATAACAAATAACAATTAATCAAATGACAATGGTTAATAGTTTAAAAGACAACCAAAATAGACTAAATTGAAGTTAGTAACGGAAATATATAATAAAATAAAATGAAACACCAACAAAAAACTATAAACTGAATATAAAAACAAAACCCAATGAACACATAGTAGATATAAAAAAAATAGTCAATGACTAAGTAGGTGCTGCTGTCTAATAATAAAGCTCTATTTCAGATATTGTGTCTGAGGAATTGTTAGGTTATTATTTGACATTATTTTTATGAATTTATTTTCAGGTGTAATATTTGTAAAGTCAGGAATAATCTGTTCAGCTTCATTGTATAAAATGACCCTCACTTTACTATATACTGGGCATATTATGAGGAAGTGATGTTCATCTTCAATGTTATTTTTATTACACAATTTGCAGATTCTGTCGCTACTTTTGATTCTATTGTCTCTTTCAATTTCTAAATTGTGATTGCTCAGTGTGAATTTAGTTAGGGCACTTTTCAGTTCTTTATTTTTTAGCTTAATTAAGTAGTTTTCCAAATGAAGTTTGTTTTAAATTTGTTGTATTAGTGTAGTTGTTACTGACAGCAAAAGCTATTGGGACGGTGAACGCCGCCTGTGTGTGACGTCACACGGATCTAGCAGCATACCGCCAACAAACAGCATGCCGAGATGTCAACGCTTATGAATACCGACTCAAATGAAAGCTGTCGTGTGTAGAAAAGAGTTCGGTGACCCAAGTAAGTCAGAGGTCAAAACAACAAACAGTTACGCTTGCATTACACCGGACCGTCTCATTGTCAATTTTCACACACGTGACCCCTTTTCAGTTGCCATTGTAAACCAATTTACGTTCAACACAAGTCATTGAAAATGACACAGTTCCCGTTAAGTTTTTGAAAGTTCTTATTGTGCTCGTCTTATTAAAGCGGAGGGGTTGTCGCGAGCGTGTCCTTGAAACTTGAGTTCCAAGTGGCGTATACAACAGATTGTTTATTTACATCAAAACATGTATTCCGTGTAGTAGTAATATGGCCACGAAAAAAACAGCCGTTATTTGGCCATCTTTGATCTAATTATGAAACACACTGATATGTATGATGTATGTACCAAATATGAATGAAAATGGTACATAAATTGTGGAAATATAGTAGTAAGGCCAAAAAGTCAGATGGATGTCAATCGGCCATCCTTGACCAGATTTTGAAACTAAATTGTCATGGACATGCATCCTAACATGTATAAAGTACATGTATGTGGCAAATTTTAATGAAAACTGACAGAGCACGTCCAAGATACCGCATAAAAAACAAACAAGATGCCTGCCAGTCGACCATCTTTGATCCAATTGCAAAATAAATCGTCATGGACATGTATCCTATCATGTGTAAATCCATGTACCAAGTTTGAATGGCAACTGACAAAGCATGTCCAAAATACAACATTTTTAAATAACAAGATGGCTGCAAGTCGGCCATTTTGAATCGAGTCCCACATAAGGTACTAGGCACATGCAAAGAATAAACGGAATCGGTCCACAGGATTCTGAAATATGACTCTGGACAGACTGACGCACGGACACACGGACGGACGGACAGACTCAGGAACTCACAGATGGTCGGGGACATGTATCCTACCATGTATGATCTATGTACTAAATTTGAATGAAAACTGATAAAGCATGTCCAAAATACGACATTTTCAAAAAAGCAAGATGGCTGCCAGTCGGCCATCTTTGATCCAATTGTGAAATAAATCGTCATGGACATGTATCCTAACATGTCTAATCTATGTACCTAGTTTGAATAAAAACTGACAAAGCATGTCCAAAATACAACATTTTCAAAAAACAAGATGGCTGCCAGTCGGCCATTTTGAATCGAATCGCTAAACCACTGTATGTGCATATGTCCCACATAAAGTACTAGGCACATGCAAAGAATGAAAGGAATCGGTCCAAGGAATTCTGAGATATGACTTTGGACGGACGCACGGACGCACAGACGCACGGACGCACGGACGGAGACCGAATTATAAGTCCCCGTTTTCGGACCTCGTCCGAACGGGGACTAATAAGTTTATTTTAATGTAGGAAAAATAGAACTACAAATACGTATGCAGGTCATGCCAAATATGTTGATAACATAAAGTTCTTGGCAAAATCTGAATTTCATTACAACAGTGACATTGACCCCAGATTTAGTTTTGTGACAGTTTAGAAGAATACCGTATATACAGGTATTAGTATGTGTTGCCATAGACGGTATTAGGGTATTCCATCTACGGTTCAACGTACGTGTTGTGTTTGTTTAATGAGTGTGACATTTTTTGATCGAATTTAGTGTTTAGCTTGCATATTTAATTTGTGAAGCGGACATAGTAACGTATAGCAATAATTGGAATTTGTCAATGTTAATTCTATTGCCATTTCTTGTGTTTGTTCATTTTTTGCGTTGACGGCCATGCTTGTTTGTAACACGGAACTACGACAAAGACTAACGAGTGAATGATTTACTAGTGACCCCCTGTAGCTGTACTGTGTTGCCGTACATAAATAGTCGACAGGTGACTGCTTGAGTACTTTCCTGTTTCACTACGAGTGCGTGTCACGAGAGTTTGGGTCAATCGAGGACAAGATGGCGGTGACGATGGGAACTGTACTTGCGTTGTTTGTGCTGTATTTGTACCAAACCGGGGCAGTAAGCTATGTGAACGACAGCACGTATTGTCACGTCGAGTCTCTACGTTCGTGTTTATGCCAGTTACATGAAGCCAGTCTTCACATCGAGTGCCATAATGCGTCTCTACGAGCTATCCCGTCGGACGTTCCCAACAACACGAAGACAATGTACATCGAACACGATGACATTCCTGTTTTGGGACAAAGTTCTTTTTCGGATCTTCGGGAACTACGTATTTTGGACATGCCTAAGAACCGAGTTGGACGGATTGATGTGGGTGCTTTCAACGGTCTAGTGTCGTTAACTCAATTAAATCTGGTGGAGAATAACATAGCCGACCTTGAAGTAGGTACCTTTCAAGGACTACCTAGTTTACGTTCGCTTGAACTGTCGAAGAACAGAATACGGCATATTCCCGTCGGATTATTCTTAGATTTGAAGGAACTAACACACCTACATCTAGAAGGAAACCTGATATCGAATTTCGAGCGAGGAGCGTTCGATGGATTGATAAACATTGAATCGATAATGATTAACCGGAACTCTTTATCAGACGTCCCGACCTCCGCGTTGAGTACAATACCTGGCGACACATTGCTTACTTTATTTCTTCACGATAATCGCATCGCAAACGTGAAGAAGCTCGCATTTAATACAGATAGTCTCAAAAACTTGGAGATGCTCAGTTTAAATAACAACGCCATTGCATCATTAGACAAGGCCGCATTTATGGGTCTCTCGCTCTTCACTATGGACTTGACGGGCAATCAGATACAATATTTAGGCAAAGATGTGTTCAAAGACCTTTTCCGCGAACCGTTCGGCGATCATTTACCAACCCTGACTCTAAATTCGAACCCGCTATTGTGTGATTGCCAAATGGCGCCATTTCTCAACTGGGTAAACAGTACGAACGTTGTTATTAATGGCAAGTGTTTCAACCCTATTCATATGAGAGGTACAAATCTAACGGAAGTGACGTCATCCGATTTGAGGTGCCGGGTTGATCTGATACGTCCGCCGAGAAATAGAACAATCAATATTGGATTTAGCGATCTAGTTTGCTGTGAAATAAAGTCCCCGCAGGATAACCCCAAGATACGCTGGTTTGGACCCGACGGTTCTTATCTTGTGGAAGACCCCTGTCTCTTGGTAAACATGACGTCAGAGAAAGAATCCGGGTTTTACACGTGCGTTGCCCTGGGTGATGGAATTTACGGTGAAACTACTATCGCCATCTCCGTCCCCACCCCAGCTCCTCCGAAAGATACATCAACCACGCCACCAGCGATGAATCAACATCGCACTAAAACGACGATAACTGGTTCATCAGTTATGACGGATCAACGTATGGGGAATGTGACAGGAACCTCAACAGCGCCATCGTCCTCAGCTCCACGGTCTTCTAAAGGATATAATGTGCTATTTATCATGTTCATTTGTGTAAGCGTGCTCTTATTAATTATTACACTAGCGAGTATAACGTATTGCATCCGGTACAGACGGCGGAAGAAGCAAAAACCACGTGATACCGTGATGCGGTCGACGTCTGTCATGTATTCGCCGATGGACGGTGACACGGTGCATATGAATACAGTATTCAACTCGAAGCAAAAATACACAAAAATACCAGCAGAATTGTGAAGTAATCGTCTGAGATGTGACATAATGTCCGGAAAACAACTGCTCAGTGTTAGACTACATGTATACTGAGTCATTGAATTATTTGTGACAACATCAGCATCGTGCTACTGATGTTTAATTCACTTTTTTATTTAAATATACAATTATCAAAATACTCCATCGTTTTTCTGTGCCGGTAGCAGGGCACTCAAGACTATTGTATTCAAAGTTCATGTACCAATCGTATCGACCATGTTAGAAAGTAAATTGTACATTTCACGTGTCGCGTGACATCCGGGGAATTGACACCAACTGTAACTGTAGCGACCACCAACCTACGATGCAACTAGTATTGTCAGTGGGAGATGGTGTTTGGTTTAATCAGAGCTATGACCAAGAGCCAGTTTGTCGTAGCAACCACTATAATTATAAATGTAGTGAAATTGTTATTTTCAAATCCTGGTTGCTTCGGTGCTATTTAAAGTTTATATCTACATTTACTTCTAAGAAACACGTACCAATTTTTTGATAGTTTCCATGTAATACTGACTGTTATTATTATTATTGCTGTAAGAGAGAGAGAGAAGAGGATACGCAACTTTCTGTGCATTTGGTAATATCGAACACGACGCGAGTCGATAAATGTAACGTCTTAGGGAACACACAAGCCGATGTAAGAAACCGTAGTATCGCCATATTAGGTAGTAGATATATCATCGAAATATCGTCTTGGCTTGAAAAGAAACAGACCTGTATATACTAGTAACTAAATATGCAACAACCGCTTAGAGATTAGAAACAGTGCCACCGTCGCCAGAGACTAGAATTAAAATTGATGTTTTATTTGAAGCATTAGAGAAGAACCAAAAAGTCGAAATTATCACCGATGATCTCGCATGATGTATCAAGTTTAATTATTAATTTGTATACACGCCGAATACTAGACACTGTATAAATAATACTTGCATACGTATAAAACTAGTCCGGCGACTATTACGTCATTCACCAATCTGATTAAAATCCCATATATGTATAGGCTCTATTTTTAAAGTGTTTAATTGCCGTATTACTTTTGTTCGTCCACTTCTTTTTTTTCGTTAACCGAGATATTATATACAAAAAAAAAAAAATGGAAAATTATCAATCCAAATGAATTGATGTAGATGAACGAAAATGAAAAGCAAATAAAATATGACAGCTAAAACATATCCTTTATATCTATATCGATTTCTTATCAGATCAGACTTATTCTAATCATCCTGAATTGAGGGATGGCTGCGACACTGGCACCAGCGATTGATCATAATGAATTGAATTTGATATCCAACACATTTTGAATTCATTGTCATTTGTATTTACACTTTCAGCTTTACTTTTATTTGAAACAGAAATTTGTTAAAATTATACAAATATTTGAGTAAATTTAACAATTTTAGATTTCAATCACTTCTTGCTACCATTTTGTTATTATTACGTATGTATTGAAACAATAAGCCGCAGAAACCAGTAAATATGGAAATTATAATAATCGGTATTAGTACTATGAATGAATCAATCGGTTGTCCCTGTATTTTAGTGAGAATGGGTGTAATGTAGGGATACCCAATACTGTAATAGAAATGGGTGTAATGTAGGGATACCCAATACTGTAATGAGAATGGGTGTAATGTAGGGATACCCAATACTGTAATAGAAATGGGTGTAATGTAGGGATACCCAATACTGTAATAGAAATGGGTGTAATGTAGGGATACCCAATACTGTAATAGAAATGGGTGTAATGTAGGGATACCCAATACTGTAATAGAAATGGGTGTAATGTAGGGATACCCAATACTGTAATGAGAATGGGTGTAATGTAGGGATACCCAATACTGTAATAGAAATGGGTGTAATGTAGGGATACCCAATACTGTAATAGGAATGGGTGTAATGTAGGGATACCCAATACTGTAATAGGAATGGGTGTAATGTAGGGATACCCAATACTGTAATAGGAATGGGTGTAATGTAGGGATACCCAATACTGTAATAGGAATGGGTGTAATGTAGGGATACCCAATACTGTAATAGGAATTGAGTTTACGATGTCCCCACACTGTAATAGGAATGGGTGTAATGTAGGGATGTCCCAATACTGTAATAGGAATTGAGTTTACGATGTCCCCACACTGTAATAGGAATAGGTGAAATGTAGGAATGTCCCAATACTGTAATATGAATTGAGTTTACGATGTCCCCACACTGTAATAGGAATGGGTGTAATGTAGGGATGTCTCCACACTGTAATGATAATGGGTGTAATGTTGGGATACCCAATACTGTAATAGGAATTGAGTTTACGATGTCCCAATACTGTAATAGGAATGGGTGTAATGTAGAGATACCCAATACTGTAATAGGAATAGGTGTACAATGTCCCCACACTGTAATAGGAATGGGTGTAATGTAGGGATACCCAATACTGTAATAGGAATTGAGTTTACGATATCCCCACACTGTAATAGGAATGGGTGTAATGTAGGGATATCCAATACTGTACTAGGAATAGGTGTACAATGTCCCCACACTGTAATAGGAATGGGTGTAATGTAGGGATACCCAATACTGTAATAGGAATTGAGTTTACGATATCCCCACACTGTAATAGGAATGGGTGTAATGTAGGGATGTCCCAATACTGTAATAGGAATTGAGTTTACGATGTCCCCACACTGTAATAGGAATGGGTATAATGTAGGGATGTCTCCACACTGTAATGATAATGGGTGTAATGTAGGGATGTCCCACACTGTAATAGGAATGGAGTAATGTAGGGATACCCAATACTGTAATAGGAATTGAGTTTACGATGTCCCCACACTGTAATAGGAATGGGTGTAATGTAGGGATACCCAATACTGTAATAGGAATTGAGTTTACGATGTCCTCACACTGTAATAGGAATGGGTGTAATGTAGGGATACCCAATACTGTAATAGGAATTGAGTTTACGACGTCCCCACACTGTAATAGGAATGGGTGTAATGTAGGGATGTCCCAATTCTGTAATAGGAATTGAGTTTACGATGTTCCCACACTGTAATAGGAATGGGTGTAATGTAGGAATGTCTCCACACTGTAATGATAATGGGTGTAATGTAGGGATGTCCCAATACTGTAATAGGAATTGAGTTTACGATGTCCCCACACTGTAATAGGGATGGGTGTAATGTAGGAATGTCCCAATACTGTAATGATAATGGGTGTAATGTAGGGATGTCCCAATACTGTAATAGGAATTGAGTTTACGATGTCCCCACACTGTAATAGGAATGGGTGTAATGTAGGGATGTCTCC